ATGCATGCTTGCATAAGTGAATCTACTCTGTGGTTGATTTGTTCTTTCTGAGCGAAGCACAGCATGTACATTTTTGGCTAACTGTATTACTACACGTTTCATCTATTCGTACACCATCTTGATGGTAAGTTTTCGTTTCATTTAGATTTACGAAACAAATTACTTAATATATGGAACGGCTTCATTCTATTATTCCTATAATATAATTAAGAACGATACCACCCAATTGGTGTCCAATTCATCACCCAAAGGCAGGTCGGTTATATGCAGGATTAAAGAAGTAAGAAAAAATGACAGTGTGTTTGAATGGCAGTTTTACTACAGAATGAATACCTCTTTGGATATCAGAACCTTGGTGTCTTTGTTAACGCTGAAGGAACTGCTGAGAGGGCTCCAATATATCTTGATGAAGAAGGCGTTAGAACCTTTGCGAGCGTTTCGTCGCATATCATATGCATAACGCAGAAACATCTACTCATATACAGGTTGGTTACGTGTGGAGGGCATAATCCAAAACTTGCACATGTTTTGTAGCCTCAGTGACCAGAAGCAGAAGCAGATCATACCGTTCTCGTTCGGTCATGCGTTGTTCATATACGGTCATCGTCCCATTATCTCATCTCGCCATCAGGTTTATGAGCTGAAACCCATTTCCTGGGAAGATCAGGTAGAATTGCAGTTTTTTATTTTGTCTTTTGTTAAAGTTCAAAATGGGAAACATGTTTGTTCTATCGTTTTTTGATTACATAATGTACTGCATGGTAGAAAGTATTGATGCCCATGGGCCAGCAGATGCAGCGATATTATTTTTATACACGTATCGCAGCTACCACCGAAGATATCCTCCTGGTCTGTTGCGATTCTGCTGGTCGAAGTCTTACAATGTCCTGTGTTTTTTTCAGGGTAGTATTTTTTTTGGATTTGCGTGGCGATTCAGATGATTACTGTTATGTAGTTGCTCAGGATTTGTCTTAAATTTTCAGCATTTTTACTTCAATCCCCAACCATTCCTCACGCTGGGAAACAAATTCTGCGGACGTGTTGTAGTCTGTCTTATTTAAACAGTGCTCGTAAGTTTTAAGAGGTCGTTTATATTCATGGGGAATGACTGGAATTGCAGAGAAAGAGAAGAAGTTTACGTCTGCTAGTAGATCAATGCTGTATGACTCCAGAGTTTCATTAAGCTTTCAAACCTGTTTCTAGCTGAATGGTTTCGTTATTCAGTTATGCTGTAGTTCATATTTGTTGAACCTATATGCTAAGTCGATTTTCATATAATCAAATGCGCACCTCCTCTACGTTTCTGTCTATAGAATATTTTGATTTTCACCCAGTTTAGTTTGAAGCCTATTCATTCTGCCACGGTTTGTATCGCTTTCCCTAATATTCATAGTGCACCCGCTGTTTAGCTTAACAGCATAATACTGTCCGCCTAATCCACCATTATTGGATATAGTCCAGGTATATGGAGCTGCACTTCTGCTTAGCGTTGGTCTATTTTCTCTGTGGCAACATTCTTCAGTCGCGTAACTGCACGCAATGCCAGGTAGCATTATAGAAATATTTCGCTTGATCTAACACTATTTTGACTTCCAAATAACTTGACAATTAACTTGAAACTCCCGTAATGATTAAACTGCATGCTTACTGATTACACCAGTTTTTCAGTCAGCTGTACAGGGTGATGATTTTATGAGACATGAATCAAATAGTATAAATGCGTAAAATAATATTAAATACGTAAAATATTGTGTAGAATATTAATTGTAACAAAACAGATATTTATTGTCACCAGTTCAGTGATGAGTGCTATCCATAGATAAGCAAGTAACGTGTGAGAGGCTTTATGTTTTTCTTGTTTCAATGCAGTTATGGATTATGAAGTTTGTAAAATTGATATTTTATGATTTTCATTCACATTTACATATTCTAACTTTTGCCAACAGAACGTCAACAGTCAATTACACCAGAGCACACTGAATGGTAGTAAGTTTCATAAACTTTAGCATGCCTTGCGTACAATTGGACACACTCTCCCAGTTGTTTGTAGGTTTTTTCAGCGTTTCTGCTCTTTTGCATTGATCGTATATGCGGCGAGTTCATTGATTCAAAAGATTAGTTTTGACAGTTTACTGCTGGAATGGAGTCACAAGGGAACTCCATTTTTCAGCATATACAAAAATGCACGATTTTCACAATTCATGGCTCCACACAGCGAATAAATAGCCTTACTATCTTACATTCATCATACGAATATGACGATCATGTTTTCTTCAGGGCAGACCGACACGCCAAAGTCCCTTTATTGACACCTAAAATCTGTGGGAAAATATTCTTTTCGGTGTTACTCAGTATTCTGAGAGCTTTTGCCATAGTAATGTAACCTGCCAATCATCTGTTGATAAACATGGGGGTACGGTATTACTCTTTGCGCACGACAAGAAAACAATTAACTGACCAAAATGTAACAAAGGAACGGTGAATTAAATCAGATTAAGTGTACAAAAGCTGTACAAGAAACTGCTCTGAGCTAAACTGTCAAGTCGGGCGTCTAAAGTGCAAAATACAACACTACTCTACTTGCAGCTGTTAAGAAAACTTTCTTTACATCTAGGAGCTGAACCATTTACCTTATCCATATAGATCAAGTGGGTTGTCATTATACCATTGCTTTTAGTTAAAGTTAATGTAAGTTCCGCTTCCATCCGCAAGAATATAAACGATTAGTCTGTGCAACAGCAGAAATTCATAGATTTGATGTATAAAGGATTGTTATAACGAATGCTTGTTGTATTGTGCAGATCAAATATTCACCATTTTTTCATTAAATTAAACATGTTTAAGGTTACTGAGCTGCTGGAAGACAAAAATGCGGACGAAGCTCTAAAGGTTGCTTTAAATGCGCAGTCAGGCATTGACAACATTTGCAAGCATGCAGAAGTACGGCCGTTTTTCTCAATTTATTGAAATCAGATCATATTTTTGTATTTTCAGAAAGTTATTCTGATTAAACAGCGTGTGGCCTTCTTATATTTGGAATGCCATCGTTGGAGCGACGCTTCAAATCTTCTGATTGTTACGCAGGTGGACCCAAGAGAGGTAATAAAATCAGCTGTTTCATTAATTTTTAGGCAGTGTGTCAAGGAATTTCTGTAGGGTACATGGCTTTTTATTAACTTCGGATTTCTCCGCAATTATTTCCTTGAGCTGTTAATATTCTGTCTTCGAAAGGATAAATTTTATAAACGTCGAAAATACTGATAGAAATCAGTGGAGGGTTAAGCTGCTGGTGCATCTGATTTGCTAGTATTTGTTATGCAGTCATTAGCGGTTATATCTTTGTAGGTGATTTCACTTTGCCCCGATCTTCTACCAACAGTTACAACTTTTGTTAAAGCTTCGCCACCGTTGCACAATATCCCATTCTTGTCATTTATTACGAAAGATGATGCGAAGATCGAAGCTGAATTCGATCAGTTCCTCATGAATTATCTCGTGGTTGTCAGGAAACGGAGTTACGGCAAGAAATTCCTGCGAGTAAGTTTTATCTGTATCCGACTATTAATACTTTGCGTAGGAAAAATTCCCAACGCCATTCTTGAGTAACCCATTTGCGTTAGCTTATTAATGTAGCCCCCGTTATGAGGTTAAAGTGAAATTGTCATTCATTCTTCCGTCTGCTCATCCATCATCGTCCATCCATTAATTTTAGAGTCTGCTTTTATTTTAGGAAGTTTTGCAATATTCCAGATCCTCCGCCAATCTGGCAAGTTCTGCCTGGTGACCTCCACGCTGCTGTTATGCCAGGTATTCAATATTCAGGGGCTCACTGGCCTTCTGCATGCCCTTGGCTGCTTGTAATGTGACTGCGAAGAGAATCCGGCCGTGCAATTCTCCTTTAAAATAAAGTCCCCATTTGGCAGATATGATGCTAAAACAATAGAAAAGATTTTTTAGACTGCAACCTCTACTGTCAGTTTTATGTACTAGTTCTGCATCTCTTCCTCTAATCGAATTTTTCAGAGGAGGTCATCATTAATGGCGTATGATCGACATTAGGATGGTTGCACCAACGAACTTTTACGTCTTTCAGTAACTTGGTTGCACTGTTTCGTATTCACTGGGATTTGAAGAAGGTTGTAGCAGAAATTTAATCTGAGAGAAATCAATTACTGAAATATTTTTAGGGTAGCTGTAATGAATTTCATGTTTCATGACTCACGGTGTGACACAGTGCTGATGTTGGAGCTCTAATTGCCTGGCGCGTTAACATTGTCGCAGCTCAAGTAATGTGGCAGTTACCTAGCTGCTTTATGAAGTCCAAAAATGGAACCAAATGTAGACAACAATAAGTGTGAGTGACATTTCTGAGTCACCCTTGACACCAGTCCAAATGATCATATCAAGTTTGTGGTAGCGCCAAAGATTTTGTATATAATAACGGGTGGGGAATATTCACTGGCATATTCGATGATTGTTTGTTAAAATATGAAGGGATTCCTTTAAATCAAAAGACCGTTCTTGAGTGGTTTCTATCGAGTACAAAAATACCATCCTGGTTAGATTAATGTTTCTCTAAGGTGACGCATTCCGCAATACTGGATCTGTCAGAGTGCCCGAAACGGACTGCTGATAATGTTCTTTGATTTGGATGCTGAATTCTCGATTGGTCATTTCTCTGTACACCTACCGCAGTTTTTGCAGTCGATTTTATAGGTAATACATCGTGGCAGAGAACCATAAAGCATCTTCCACAGATAAGAAACGTTGCATGATCGTAGATTTTCAATATGCGATATGATTCATTTCAGGTCATGAAAGCAGTGGTCGCAGTTCTTCGTCATTTAGAATGTTCCATTGTCTAGATTTCTTCCTTAAAACAGTGGAATCATCTGATTTTTGGTCTATTTCTTGGCCATCTTCAATGTATTTTTACCACTTGATTCAGTCTTACGAGTCCTCTTCTAACAGCTCACAAGTTATATACCTCGAATTAGCGTCTTTCGAAACAGATTGAGCATCATGCTTTGAAACAACCACTGCGATTTGCATCGTTGCTCGCACTCTTTGGATCTGTGTCAATCACTCGTTAGGGCAGGTGAAAGCAGATACCTGGACAGAGTTTCAGTGTGGGTTTACATGAAAAAATTATATATTATTTTCAAAGATAAGTACAGCAGTTTTTTCTGAAAAATAAATGATTAAATATGAATTTTCTGAATTCGACTAGTAACGAATCTGACTTTCCGGCCGATTACCTACTATTGTGCAATGTATATTATTCGTTAGCTTTTTCAAGGACTTATTTTATGTGAAATTTCGGTAATGTGTTCATCATTGAAGCCACACTTTCATCGATACCGAATTTGTGCATATTCATTTAGGAGCTGGACACGGCCTCATTGAAATTGCTTTCGAAGCATGACTGTATCTCACTGGAAAAGTTTCTTTATGAAGAACGCTACTTCGATGTCGAAAACTGTATTCTTTGGTGTTTGAACAAAAAAGCTTATCATGCCGCCGCTTTGATTTCTTGGAAAGAGAAAAATTACGATAAAGCATTTTCGTTATGGAAGAAGTTTGATGAATTCTTAGAAAGCGACCTAGGCACATCGTTTTTTGTCTGTTTAGAATCATTGATGGGCACATCGCTGATGCTCAGTTTAATTGCTTACAACAGATCTATCCTGTATTACTCAAATGCCCAGATTTTTCCTTCCTCGTGAAAAATTCCAACTGGTTTCTGCATCAAGATCCGGACATGTTTCTTAAAGTGAGTTATCGTTATCCGTTTAATTATAAGTGCAATAGTGTGAATGCTCACCTATTTTAATTGTAAATTATTTGCTGATTCATTATGGGAATGCGAAACTACATTGACTGTTTGTGAGACATCGGTTTTGTTTGGTCCCCACAACCATGAATAGATATATTCTCCATTTCTAATAACGGGGCCATGTTTAGAAGACGTTTAATTGTTATTAAGTTATATATTGCATTTTGATTGTACGTATTCCCTCGTAACACCTCCGTTAAGTTATAGTCGTCAGTAGAGCGTAGTCGACCTTTTGACCATTACGCCAAGAACTATGGCCTCCAGCGGCCATGACATTGACTGTTTCATAATCGATGAATCTGTTTAAGCAAGCTGTTCGTCCAAGTATTCCATGGTCTGCCTCTGACACATCGCAGCAATACACTACAAGTGTTTGTAGCCGCTTCGAGAGAATCATGAGCAGAATGCTTGTCGGTAACCTCGTTACATGGCTAAGTAGGGAGGTTCTGCGAAGGATGATTATGAAGGCATGAATGGTAGTCCTATGAGTTCGGTTTAGGCCACGTTTCAGATGAAGTCGTAATATTAATGTGAAGTAATTGCCTCTAATTCATCATGTGCAATATGGGTACTCGTTAAATGTTTGTTTATGAATGTTTTAATGTGATCTGTTTTCAGCTTGTAATCGAATCGCAGTCAACAAAGTCAGTAAATCTTGACTCGGTCATTTCTTTGCTCGCTCCTGACCCAGATGTGCTCCTCAAATTCCTTGAACACGTTTCGGTTAACACGAAGGCAACTTCTTTAATATTAAATTTTATAAATTTGCTTAAAAGTGAATTAGCAACAACGCTTTCAGGACGAAAAGGTGCTGATGCGTATAGCAGAAGTATTCGTTAAACGCATCGCTTTGTCAGAAGAAAGTGAAAGTGCCGAAGAAGTTCTGAACCTACGTCAACGGTACCGCAAATTCCTTCTTTCCTCGACCTACAACACTGATTCCGTGCTCCAGACTATGAACGATTGTTCGGTCAAGTTGTCATATGAAAAAGCAATCGTCCTTGCCAGGGTATGTACTCATTTCTGTAATGAAGTTTGACCTTCGTCTTGTGAACAGCGACAGAAGACCAGCCAACTAACTAGGGCAAAATATTTTTCGACTTTAAACATCTGTATGCTGCATGTCACTTTTAGTTATAAACCATATATGCAGTGAGTTCTCTTCAAAGAAAGTGTCTGAAACCTTAAAAAGTTACAATGTTATATTGTTAACTTAAGGCTAATTATTTAAATAATTAATCATGCGGCGGTTTATTTCATATTATTTTTTGTTGTAGATGAAAAAGTATCAGGAGGCACTGGAGAATGTAATAGAAACGGATGGATGTGATGCAGCTGAAGAATTTTGCGCTGCCTTTTGTCAAGAGTCGAAGAGCGCCAAGGAAAATTTGCAAGTTACGCTTCTGAAGTTGTATCTCACTCAAAAGATGTAAGGGATACCATGGTTTTTAAAAAAGGACGTGATAAATTATTGTAAAGCGTGATATTTTCATGGTAAACTGTTTCACTATTAAATTTTAACAACTGAAACTAGTTTTTTTCTAATTCTGCTTAATGTGAAAGAAGCAAAGAATAAAATAAGGGATTGCGAGTTTGTAACTGTTGAATTGTCGATCCTCCTTACTTTCATGATCGGGTCATTTCTAGCTCCTTACTTTTCATGCAGTTAATTTGTGAGGGTCATTATCTCCAGTCAGGAGTGCCTTACTTTTTTAAAGGAAGAGTCAAAACGACTATCTAGCAGGCATAGTGTGCAGTCTTCTGATTCCTTCTCGCACAGTGGTACTCGTTTATCAACCTCAGAGGAAAGGAAAGCGAGTTACTCGACCGGTGCTCAGACTTAACACCTCTCATTTCTGAGCCTGACTCTGTACCGACTAAATAGTGTGGTCTTGTGACTTGATATTGAACAGCGGAAATACTCTTTCAGCTACAGGTCTGCTAATGTAATATGGAATAATGGAAATCTTATCGTAATAATGAATTTGTGATCTAATGTGAACTACTTTCAGGGATGTTACAAGCGCGACGTCACGAGCATTACGCATTCTGAACACATTGGAAACCGACACCTGCTTTGATAAGGTACTTCCATACTTGACAGACTTAAATGCAATCACTTTAACCGTGTTCACCTTCCCATGTGTCTTCGTCGTAGATCTGAACCTAGGATTACATTCAAGGCTGCAAACGCAGTGTTCATATGCTCGCTTTCATAGGACACCACTAGTAGGTATAACAACAGACAGCTGACCGTTTCGAGTGTCTGCTCTCACTGAAGCCGTTGCTTGAATTGAGCCTACACGTTAAAGGACGATAGAAAACCACCAATACACACTTTGCAAAGATAAACCTACTTGCAAGCGACGAAGTGTGGCAGCAGATACATGGAATTCGTCTGCATTCATGATAGTTTGTTCTTGTTTTTCACATAAACAGTTTCGGAAATTGACGTACTTGATGATTTTGCTGGGATCAACTATGAATCTGAACCTTTCAGTGACTAGCGGCAAATCTGCAGCATGCTAAAAGTGGCGAACCCCTTTACCCAATAAAAATCAAGGATAAAGGGATACATGCATTGCGTTCCACAGTTCCTACAAAAATCAACTTCCCATTTTCGATGCATACATAAGGTAATCTTCTGCATGAAATGACCTCATAACTTGATTAATTGGGTGATGAAAAT